CATATCAAACGGAGTCCAAACAGGATAAAAACGGATGGAGAATTATTTTGGAATATTTGTGATATTTGGGAAGTAAAATCAACACGAGACGGTGCCCGAGGTGGCCAGGAGATAGGGGGCGCGCCGCAGGGAGGCAGGCGCGCCCTGGACTCTCCTGGGGGCCCCGTAAGGCAGTTAACGCTCTTATTTTGCCGCAAGAAAGCTAATTTTATGAGAAAAATCTGGGCGAAAGATTCGCCCCAATCGGAGTTACGGATCTCCGAATATAAAAGAAACGGTGAAGGGGAAGGATCTGAGAACGCAGAAACACAGAAAGACAGAGAGACGGATCCAATCTCGGAGGGGCTCTCGCCCCTCCCACGCCATGGGAGCCAAGGACCAGAGGGGAAACCCTTCTCCCATCTAGGGAGAAGGTCAAGGAAGAAGAAGAAGAAGGGGGGTTCTCTCCCCATTGCTTCCGGTGGCACCGGAACGCCGCCGGGGGCCATCATCATCACCGCGATCTTCACCAACAACTTCACCGCCTTCATCATCAACTCTTCCTCCCTCTATGCAGCGGTGTAACCCCTCTCTTACCTGCTGTAATCTCTACTTAAACATGGTGCTCAACGCTATATATTATTTCTCAATGATGTATGGCTATCCTATGATGTTTGAGTAGATCGGTTTTGTCCTATGGGTTGATTGTTGATCGTGATTGGTTTGAATTGCATGTTTTATTATTGGTGCTGTCCTATGGTGCTTTCTGTGTCGCGCAAGCATGAGGGATGCCCGCTGTAGGGTTTGCAATATGTTCATGATTTGCTTATGGTGGGTGGCGTGAGTGAACAAAAGCACAGACCCGAGTAAGTAGGTTGTTTGCATAGGGATAAAGGGGACTTGATGCTTTAATGCTATGGTTGGATTTTATCTTAATGAATCTTTAGTAGTTGCGGATGCTTGCTAGAGTTCCAATCATAAGTGCATATGATCCAAGAAGAGAAAGTATGTTAGCTTATGCCTCTCCCTCAAATAGAATTGCAATAGTGATTACCGGTCTAGTTATCGATCGCCTAGGGACAAATAACTTTCTTGTAACAAAAAGCTCTCTACTAATATTTACTTTATTGCATCTTTATCTAAACATCCCCTAGTTTATATTTACGTGCTCTTTATTATCTTGCAAACCTATCCAACAACACCTACAAAGTACTTCTAGTTTCATACTTGTTCTAGGTAAAGCGAGCGTCAAGCGTGCGTAGAGTCATATCAGTGGCCGATAGGACTTGAGAGAGTATTTGTTCTACCTTTAGCTCCTCGTTGGGTTCGACACTCTTACTTATCGAAAGAGTCTACAACTATCCCGTATACTTGCGGGTCATCACCTGCTCTGCTCCCCAAAAGGATTAATGCCATACGCGCTTAAACCAAACTATGCGTTCCTTGCGCCACCTGCAAAGTCTTCCCAGTACTTTCTCTCGATTTTTCTCCACTGCGACCTATCAGCGGGTGCTCTCAACTTCCCGCCTTTCTTACGGTCCTCTATGTGCCATCACATCAACTTGGGATGCTCTTTGTTTCTAAACAGACGTTTCAACCGTGGTATTATAGGAGCATACCACATCACCTTGGCCGGAATCCTCTTCCTGGGGCGCTCGCCGTCAACATCGCCAGGGTCATCTCGTCTGATCTTATACCGCAATGCACTGCATACCGGACATGTGTTCAAATCCTTGTACGCACCGCGGTAGAGGATGTAGTCATTAGGGCATGCATGTATCTTCTGCACCTCCAATCCTAGAGGGCATACAATCTTCTTTGCTACGTATGTACCGTCGAGCAATTCGTTATGAAAGCTTCGTCAATATTTTCAGTAGCTTCTCAAATCCTTTGTCGGGTACACCATTCTCTGCCCTCCACTGCAGCAATTCCAGTGTGGTACCGAGCTTTGTGTTGCCATCTTCGCAATTGGGGTACAATCCTTTTTTGTGATCCTCTAACATGCGATCGAACTTCAGCTTCTCCTTTACACTTTCACATTGTCTCTTTGCATCAACAATGACCCGGCGAAGATCATCATCGGGCACACCTTTTGGTTCCTCTTGATCTTCAGCTTCCCCCGTTGCAGCATCACCGTATTCAGGGGGAACATAGTTGTCATCATCCTCTTCTTCTTTGTTGTCTTCCATCATAACCCCTCTTTCTCCGTGCTTGGTCCAAACATTATAGTGTGGCATGAAACCCTTATAAAGCAGGTGGGTGTGAAGGGTTTTCGAGTCAGAGTAAGACCTCGTATTCCCACATATAGGGCATGGACAACACATAAAACCATTCTGCTTGTTTGCCTCAGCCATTGCGAGAAAATTATTCACGCCCTTAATGTACTCAGAGGTGCGTCTGTTACCGTACATCCATTGCCGATTCATCTGCGTACATCATGAATAGATAAGTGACCAAATTAATAGAAGTTCATCATCACATTAAAACCAAAGTACATACATAGTTCTCATTGAACAACATATAGCTCTGCATAGCTTCTAATTAAACCATACATTGAAACTATGTAAAACATTTCAATGCAACAACAAATGCGATCATAATCACAAATAAGGTAACAATTGATCCAACGGCATAATGATACCAAGCCTCAGTATGAATGGCATATTTTCTAATCTTTCTAATCTTCAAGCGCATTGCATCCGTCTTGATCTTGTGATCATCGACGACATCCGCAACATGCAACTCCAATATCATCTTCTCCTCCTCAATTTTTTTTTCAATTTTTCCTTCAAGTAATTGTTTTCTTCTTCAACTAAATTTAACCTCTCGACAATAGGGTCGGTTAGAATTTCTGGTTCACATACCTCCTAGATAAAAAATCTATGTCACGTTGATCGGCATAATTGTCATAAACATTAAATGAACCAAATAGTTATAAAAGATAATATATACCACATCCGAATTATAGACAGGACGAGGGCTGAGGGAGGCAGATACCAAAACCATCATACTATATAATAACAAACAATAATAAAAGTAAGAAAATTACACAAGTATCTATCTAAACCATACAAGTAAGAACTTTTTTCTTTTAGAAAGAAGATAAGGTCAAGAAGCTCACCACGGTGGTGCCGACGACGAGATCGGCGCGGACGATCGACGGTGGTGAGGATGGGGACGGGACCGGACGGACCGCCAAACCGAGACAAATCTAGAGGAAAATGGACTTTGGATAAGGAGCTTCGAGAGGAGAAAGCTTAAGTGTGGCTCGGGCATTTCATTGAACACCTCGTGTGCATAGGAGGTGAGCTAGAGCACCACAAAGCTCTCCCACGGCCGGCCAAAAAAACAGAGCACTCCACTACTCTGCTCGCGGGCAAGGGGGTATATATAGGCATCTCATTGGTCCCGGTTCGTGGCTGGAACCGGGACTAAAGGACCACATTTGGTCCCGGTTCCAACCACGAACCGGGACTAAAGGTTGTGGGCCAGGAGCGAGGCCCATTGGTCCCGGTTCGTATCTGGAACCGGGACCAGAGGGGCCAGACGAACCGGGACCAATGCCCCACGAGGCCCGACCGGCCCCCTGGCCTCACGAACCAGGACCTATACCCCCATGGGTCCCGGTTCGTGACTGAACCGGGATTAATGGGCTTATGTGGCCTGGACCGAAGCCATATTTTCTACTAGTGTATGGTTAGGAGGGGTATGGGAGTTGAGCGGAAATTAATTCGGATGGCCTCCGGCATCGTGCTCCGCGGAGCCGTGTCGGGAACCCTAGCTCCAGGGAGCCACCTTCGAGAAGCTATGTTGGACCACAATGTAAATTGAAGAAGTTCGAGGCGTCACACATCCTTAAAAACGCAAAGTTAGCGCAAATTACATCCCACTGACACCTCTGAGTGGAAAATGACTGGTTTTACGTCTCAGATGTATCTTTTGTTTGCTTGTTTCATGCTGCATTTATATTATTATTACATAGCTTTAGTACTATCTTTTATTATTTTTCTAGACTAACCTGTTAATTCAATGCCCACATTTAGTTGTTGTTTTTTGCTATTTTTTAGAGTTTTTAAATAAATCAGTTTTTTTATCAAAACAAATCAAATAAAAAAACATTTGTTACTTTCAGATTCAGCAAATTTCAGAAAGCATCGTAGCCACAAGAGGGGATCTCATGGAATCCATGTGAACCCTGGCTCGTGACCAAGGGGTGGGCCTCAATGGTTATAATATATCAAAATTTAACAAATGTCATCTAGTTTGGTGTGAATTTCATCTGTTTTTTTTTAAGATTCGTTTGAAATGGGACAAGCATTTGATGCCTGCAGTGACTCTTCTACTATATCTGTCCGTGGAGATGTTTGCAGACTTTTGTGAGGCCCATTTCGATGACCCTCATTGGAGTTGCCCTTAGTAAGTGAAGAGATAACTATTCTCAAAAAAAAAATGAAGAGATAACAAGGGCGGGTGGGAGTTGGAAGAGATGTTTAAGTGATCACATCTTGACCCTCAATTCTCACTAATCAAACAAATAGAACAAATTTTTCATGCTTTACATACATACGAGTAATTCCCAAAACAATGCATCCATATAAACATGTTGATTTTTTTTCAGAATTTTTTGAAACCTCAAAATATTATTTTGGCAGTATTCAAAATATAGGGCTCACTGGAGCTCGTCCTCCAAAGTGACTTTTTGCCCAAACCACTCGTCTTCCAACATGACCAGAAGAATTAAACTAGCATGTCTACCAGCTTGTCTTGTATATTCAGAATTCAGAATGTCAACTATTCTGCATGGAGCAGCTTAGCGCAGTAGCTGTAAAAGGCAATCATCCAAATTTCCTCTACAATGACCCTTACAGCTACTTTAACTTACCAAGCTAGCAGATAAGCACTATAAATCTACAACAACAAGCTTACATGGCCACCAGACGATGTATATCTATCTGGAAGATGTACATACATGATGATGCCATGAGTACATTTATATCAGTCAGTGCCCAGGAGGGAGGATGTCAGAAGCGCCTCTTCTGCTGAGGGTACCCAGGGTTCTGCATCCCCATCCCTTGATCAGCCTTCCTTCTCAACTGTCAACACCAAGAAAATCAAACGGCTTACTGATCGTCATAAGCGTTATTCAAACAACAGTAGCTAGGAACGTGAGATAATTAAAAATATAGAACAAACCTGGTGTGGATGAGACTGGCCACCTGCGCCTCTCTGCATTGGAATGTTACCGGGATTCATCCCAACCATGCCTGCTTGGGGTGCTGCGCCAAAGGCACCCATGTTTGCACCAGGAGGCATTCTTTGCATACCACCCATAGGCTGTTGCATTTGCCTTGGGATTTGTCTTGGTACAGGCTGGCCTCCTGGAGGTCCATTCCCTGATGGCTGAAACATGAATGCATCATGTTATTACAGATCACAGCTCGGCAGTTCTTAAGAATTCTTTGGTTCACTCAAAGTGGGACTGAAACAAATCTTCTGAGGAAATTAAACAAGAAACAAGACTTGTGATGCCTACATCTAACATTCTAACTTGACTGACTAATTAAATATGTTCTGCACCATTGGAAGATGATTTTGCTACAAGAAATCTAAATCTCCATAAGAAGCACATTCATTGCACAAGCTTTCCACTAATCTCTAAAAAAATCTTTCCACTAAGCTCTTCTCTATCAAAAAAAGCTTTCCACTAATCAGGTCGCAGATTGGAAAATTAAGATTTAGGCAGAGACAAAGCTTCTATTACCGGTTGAGTTGGTTGAAGGCTTGTTGTTCCTTCAAAATCTGTTGAGGTGTCTACTGGACGAACAGGATATGTGACAATTTTCTCGCCTGGCTGAGATGGTACAAGTGCACTGACCAGAGAGACATTTTAGGCACAGAGACAAGAAAAACCATCACTTTATAAAGTAGAGGCAGTTGAGACTCTATTCATACATAACTTACTTTCGTCCAGGTAGCGGGTCCATCCGGAAGTACCTAGCAAAGAGGTGGATGTATTCAGAAGAGTTGATATATCAAACTTTATTCCCCAATATCAGAAGAGTTGATATAATAAACTGTAATCGACAATATCCCCGCATTACAACTATGATTTTGTTGTATTCACTGTATATTTAAAATATTCTACAGCATTCAATGGTTAAAAGTTATGTGTAATTAGCAATGACAAGATTAGGTACAGATCAATCCTACCGGAAGAACCTTTGGTTCCTGGTTTTGGCCGCTTTGCTTTATGCTTGTGATCCATTTCAGCATTCTTCTAATAGG